GGAGGGAGGAAGCGCGGGGGACGAAGAAGATGAGGTCCGGGATGCAGAGGAGGAGGGTTAGGGTTGTGATCACTGTGGAGGAAAGGGCGGAGGAGAGCATCAAGGTCTCGGTTTCTCTTGTAGAAGGGTTTTTGGGGGAAGTGGGATTTATGTAGAAAATTAAATGTCTGGTTTTAGAGGAGAGGTAAATGGGATTCATTACGGCGGCGGCGGCGGTGGTGGTGGAGATTGGATTTTGGGGGTGGTGGGAAGAAATGGTGGGGGCGGAGGAGAAGAAAGAATGGGGGTGGTGGAGAGGTGGTGGGAGTGTGTGAAGGGAGCAAGTGGGGGAGTAAAAATGGGAGATTTGCAGAGCAGGTCAGATTTGGATGGATGGATGGATGGTGTGAGTTAACGGCGTTAGTGTGACGTTATTTCTTTTTTCTCTTGTTTGTTTCCTTTTTATTTATTATTTTTTCTAAATTAGATCTGGTTTGGTTACAAAATAGGTGAGGTGAGGGAAATAAACAACACAAAGTTCGGTCAGACTTGTTAATTATAGGAGTTAGAATATGTGAATTATTAGTTTTATGAAAATTGGTAAATTACCGCCACCTCACCTCCGATGTATGATTAAATTACGAAAATAGTAATTACAGTCACCCTTAATTATGAATCTTCTTACACGTATATTCTTGTGTTGTCAAATTAAGTGGAGTCTTCTAGGTAATGTGGAATATTCTACAGTTTATACCCGTTTTATCCTATTCGAGCTTCACAGTTTGAAACAAGATGATCACAAGATGTGTCTCTCGTCTTGTGAATTTTAAATTGTGGAGCATCAAAAACTGCATTTTTTGCACAAAACGAGTACAAACTAAAGAACATTTCACGGAATCTAGAAGATTCTGTTGAATTTTGACACCATAAGAGAAAATTTATAGTTGAGTGGAGTTATTGTAATTACCCAAACATAAGAGGATTTTTTTCATAATTTAACCTTATATTGGGTGTCACCATAATTTATCCTAAGAAAAAGAAATTGAAGGAAAGATTAGTACACACTTGTGAATTATTTTAGTGGGAAAATCAGTCATGCAGACAACCATCTTTTTCCTCATCAATCAAAAGGTCAATATTGTCTTTTTCGCTTTTTACGTAAACAAATTTTATACTAATATTTTCAAACATTTGCTATTCTTCATTAGAGAGAGAGAGAGAGAGAGATGTTTTAGTTGAAGAAGTCTACAAAGCTGGAGATATTATTCATAAAATGATACTTGCAGAGAAGACAAGTAGTACAACATATATTTTCAACATGGCCGGAGAATTGTTCAGACTCAAACTAACTGATGATGAAGGAACAAGGCAACAATCACCTTACCGTTCACACGAGCGCATTTTCGAGTTCTATATTACACGGAAAGGCGGGGCCACAAACCTCTACTACTTACTCGTAGTAGAACAAATAAATACAATCATTTCCACTAAACAACAAAAAGAGAAAAATGCAATCATGTACCTAGTCATTCTTATTACCTGCAACAAAGCCCGTCTCTTAACTCAGTCACGGTGAACGGCAATCATCGGAAATAATCATAAATACACCGCCATAGCAGTTTTTTTCTCACTCGTGCCCATTTTATGTACAAACTCAAGCAGCCCGCTGGAGAATTTAGCAGGAGGGAGGGGAGATCTTGCGCCGTTATTCTTGGGGAGGCTGATAGTCTGATTCTCGACTAAGTTTTGATGGGTTTTTTGCCTCAGCGCTTTTCGGATTGGCATTGTGTCTCAGAAGCTCTGTGGCAGTAGGTGACTTTTTAACAGCGCTTCGTTCTTTGGATTGGAGACCCCCGTTACCTACTCCTGGTTAAATGAAATTGCATGGTGAAAAGCTAACATGTTAAAAACATAATCCATACATGAGAGAGAGAGAGAGAGAGAGAGAGAGAGAGAGAGAGAGAGAGAGAGAGAGAGAGAGAGAGAGACCGCTGCTAGGAAGGGACAATCGCTTCTTTCCTTGTGGATTTGCGAGGGAGGACCTTTCCTTCGGATTACTGTGTGATCTTGAGGCAACAACGTTGGGCTTAGAGTTGGTGGTTTCCTCGCCAGGTGTCTCTTGCACATTGGCCGACATATTGGGTGAAGAACTGCTGCAGCCATCAGAATTGGACACAGCCCTCTTCTCGTTCTGGATTGAACGAGAAGGAGCCTTCCCATTTGAAATATTCGCGGCAGGTTTCTTTCCTGTTACGGAATTGAACAGATTTGTGGATGGATTATTCTTCACAACATCAAGTACTGGTCCTCCATCCTCTCGAATCTTGACGCCGTCTTTAAGGTTAATGTCTAGAAAGCGGTTTTCCCAAGGGCGAACAGCCATCCATCTCTCCAACCAATTCCAGCCCCAGTTGCTTTTGTCTGGTTCGAAACCAGTTAGTGTTACCTGCTGCCTTGACCCTGCCTGCCACTGCATTAAAGCAATTCCAGTTTAAGGCGCGTTGATTTTTTTTATTTTTTTTCGTAAAATGATCAAATTATCTCGTAAACCGAGCATATGGACAATTACCTGGTTAGCTAAAGCATATGCCATTGCTCTTTCACGCTTAGCAGCTGCCTCCTTCCTTTTCAACAACTTGGCTTGAATTTCTTCAACAGACCCGACACTGTCGCACCACCCATCCTGGTTCACAGTCAACAAATCGTTAATAGTAATCGGCAGCAATAGATTATAGTAACACATCCACAACAATATAATGACGAAGTAATAAATTCATTTCTATTAAGTATTTCTACTGAAGATAGATTACTTCAATTTCTTTAACATGAGCCTCATGTTCAAGCTGTTGTTCGAGTTTCTGTTGCACCGTTTGAGTCTCTAAGGACATACGAACACGCCTCGCTCGGACACGAGCCTGAACTCTTACTAAAGCCTGCATGCAACGAAGTGTAACCGCAGCTTGCTTTCTTACAGCATGACCCCTGACAAGAGCTTGAAGTCTGACCAATCCTTTTAAAGCACGTAAAGCTCGTCTAGCCTGACAGACACCAAACAGTTTGATCGATAAATACCAGAAAATATCACTGCCTAGAGAATTCACTGCCATGAAAGGTCATGTCCAGGAAGTGATTACAAATTTAGAGACCGACACATACCAGAAATCCTTTAAAGGCTGTTTGGATTCGTATCGCTGCCCATTCTTCTCTCTTATTGTGTCGAAATTGATATACATTTTGCACCTGAAGTGAAGTAGAATGGGAGCTAGCTGAATCTGAAACCGATTGGAGCTTGCCATCTTTGGAATGCTCGATTGTTGTAGCCAGATTACGATTCAACTCAGTTTGAAGTACATCACTATCAATCTCAACAGAGTGCTTTCTTCGATGCCAAATCTTGCCAGTGCTCCCAGATCTCTGCATCTTTGAACCAGTTTCGAGATTATTATTTCATTCACAGGCAATCAAATTTTACATTTTTATGGAACTAGAAATACCAAAAACTACTATAAGCAGCTAACAGGCTTTTAGTATAGGCCATGTGCAAATATCTATCTTTAATGCTGCAACCTTCATGGTTATCCATGCAAATATGGATCAAATGCAAAATTGTGCGTAATAGAAAAATTTGATTAGATCTCGATTCTGGGGAACCATATCAGTAGGTTAGTACGTTACAAAAAGTGGTGCATAGAATGTAGTACATGGTCGATAAATTAAAAAAGCAGTTGTTTTTTGCAATTGCTATAGAAACTGTGCGCATGAGTGTTGGGGGGGGGGGGGGGGGGGGGGGGGGG